TAGGCCTCCAATAGTATTATTGGTTATTGTTCTTTAGGTATTTAACTCAAAATGCAACCTTGTCTCGTTTTTTAATAGTTTGATTATCATACTTCTCCTAGATCGCATCTATGTTACTCGAATTTTATCCTTCTTTTTCACTTTTTTAAGTCTTAAAATCTTTACTCACCAATAAATTGCATATGCATTCCCTACCAGGGTTCTTATTCTATCATGCCCTAGAGTAATCCTTTTTTTTTTTTTTTTGAATTCTTGCTTTTATCTACAACGCATTATAGGCTTGTTACACTTCTATGTTCAAAATGGAGTTAAGACTCTATTTTCCTCTTCATTAAGACTTCATCATCTAGTATTTCAAGACTTCTTCATATTTTTCACTTTTTGCATTTACAATGCATTAGCTTAAATCAAACATTAATAAGGACTGTGAAACTTACCAAAGATCTTACCCTAACAATTATAGTTCAAGAGGTTTTTACCCTCATAGCTTTTTTTCCTTCATAGCAGTTCGTCATAGAAATTGTAATTTAAGAGGTTCTTCATCCATAAAGTCTCTTTTTCTTCAAATTAACTTTTTGCATATTTATGATGTCTTTTCATATGAATCTTACTTACTAAGGATTCTTCATCTTCAAAACCTCTTTTTCTTCATAGCTATTTTCTACATATACTTGAATCCTTGTGGTAGAAACTATAGTTCAAGAGTTTCTTTATGCTTAAAGCTTCTTTTTCTTCATTTGAGTTTTACCTATTCTCGAATTTTCAATATATCAACTTAAATAAAGTGCCATCACTTGTTAGTGATACTTACTTGACATCTCATGGTAGCAATTATAGGTTGAGAAATTCTTCGTCCTTAAATATTCTACTTTTTTTTATTTCTTTATTATTCAAATTTTCAGGTTGTACACGAGTCTTATATAATTCTATGCATGTTCAATTAAATATATAATTATGTGTGAGTTATTTACCTTTTATTATAGGAATTTTCTAATTTTTTCCCTTCAAGAATTTGTTATGTTGCTAGAGAGAGCCCATACATTTAGTAGAGAGGATGAAGATCATTTTAACAACATTAAGAAAAGAGAGTTCCATAATTGCTCGGGAATATTGACCAAGACAATAAAAGTCTAGTGCAAGCATGAATTAATAAATAATCATTCGTTTATACACGATAATAGATTTTCCCAAACCTTGAGAATTTCTTTCTGATGCATCTTCTTTTTATCTTTTTTTTTTTTTTTCCTGTTCTTCTCTTACATTTTATTTTCTCTTTTTTCCTCTTTTTTTTTTCTTTTTGTCTCTTCATTTTTTTCATTGTTTTTTTTATTATCCATATTCCCATGAATTTCATTTCTATTTCTCGTTAAGATTAGCGCTCCATGAGCATTCCTTCGAACTTTTTCCCTAATTGAAGCCGAGCTTTCCCACGTCATTAAGAGAGTGCTCACAGTTAGGTATATTTGATCTCAAATACTAAGATTTGTGATAAATATATTTTTAATCCTTAAGGGGTCAAACAACATTTCTGTTCTTATAATTGATTGTTTTATCTTGTACAACTGCATGTAATAGGGCACTCTCAATCAAAATAAATCTTCTAAGCTGGTCAAGTAAATGCCTTAATTTGCTTAATTTCTATTTTATGTTCTTATTTTTAATTAATTTATACACTCACCAAATATTAAACTTATAAAATGCTAAATAGACAAACACATAATTTAGAGCACAACACAAAAATATCATACTAGAACAAAAACAGATCAATTAAATATTTGCAGCAAGTTATTGTGCTCAGATAAAGTCAAACTTTAACTCCTGATTATCAAGTAACTTTTTTTTCTAAAAGAAAAAAGAGAAAAGAAACGTACGTCTTATATTTGGTATCAGTTCAACAAGTAAGCTTTAATATAGAGGCGCACTTTACTCCATATTGGTATGATGTACATGGATTGATATGATACCATTTTTTTTTTTTTCCTTTATTAGTTTTAAATTTTGATTAAAACAGGCGACGGAAGAGTAAATATTTTATTGTTTCTTTCTCCTTATTTCCTCGTTCAAAACATAGCATAAAACTCCATAAATAATTTAAACTAAATTCAGTTTTATTACTTCACCATTCAAACCGAGCTAAACACTTTCTTTTCGGAAAGAGACCAACTGGTGCTTTTTCAAAAAGAAAAATTATAAGTTTCAAACCACTAGACAACTTCTTTAAATATGATTAGTTTACTTTAGATTTGATTTCTATAATTTTTTGACAATGAATAAATCACAGTTATAGAATTTACAAACTAGTCTGTCATCTTGAAGCACCTACCAGTTACTTCTCTGTTATGTTTTTTATCAAATTGAATTACTTGTCTCAAGCCAAGTAAAATCATCTACAGTCACGCATAAAGATTGAAAAAGTTAAATGAGAAAGAATTACCATAAATACACACACACACACACACACATATATATATATATAGAGTTAGTTGCCTTCTAAAACTGATCCAGACGGGCAAAAATCTTAAACACTATAATGTATACTTCTTACCCTTACTGCCTGGCATAATCTAATCATACTGCCCTTTAACGCCCTTTTAACCCGACGAGAATAGTAATTCACATCAAGTCTGTCTTTTTCTCTCCCCAATAAAAGGAAAAAGAAAGAGAAGTAGCTCTGAGAAAGGGAAAATAACATAGAACAGTTCACCCATCAAAATTTCTTTATTCTTCTGAAGTACTTGTCAACTTGAGAATTATTGCTAGTGTTTACTTGCGTGCACAGCAAGGAGACTGAGGTTGAAGATGGTAGTCTCTTGAAAGCTGTTGTGCTATAAACTCTATTCTTGAATCCACAGGATTAACAAGCTGGGGAAAGATCCTCCAAGCTGCAAAAAGCTTGAGAGCCTTAATACAAGCTTTCTTCTTTTAAATTCTTCCCAACCAAAGATAATTATGATTTAGACGACATACCTTCTTCCTAAGCACTCAATGATATCACTGGTGAGGGTTGATCTTTTCTTATTCTCAAAAGCAAGAGACGCCGCTTTCCTCAGCAAAGCAGAACCAGCAATGCAACCCAACATGGTTGGATTGGTTGGACTGTAAAAAAGACATAGGAAAGAATACTAACTCTAAAAACATGGAGCAGGATTGAGGAACACAATGAAAAGCTGCAAGATGCAGAACCTGCTAGTCATATTTCCTCCCGTAGCTTTGACATGTTGCCATGCCCATGACAGAAATACTGCAACACTGTTAACAACAATAGACTTTATTGGGATTCAAAAAGTGTCCTTCGGTGAAACAAAAGCTGAAGAGAAATTTGAAGCTTATTGAGTTACTAAAAACTTGAAAAAAAGAAAAAAAAAAGAAGAAGATGCAAAATGGATCATGTTTTTCTGTTTAGCATCTGAATATCAAGTTTCTGAACATACCATCAGCAAGCATAACAGAGAAACCACCCCATCCCCTCTCTATCTCTCTCTCTCTCTCCCCCTCTCCCTCCCCCTCTCCCTCCATCTATTGTTACATCTTATTTTTGGTCATTATGTTTGAACTTAATCAATTGTAATTATGAGAATCTTCCACCCAATTTTGTCAACGTAACAAAAAAAGGAGTGAATACTGGCATCTTAAAAGCACAACTCTACATCTGATTGATATTGTTGGAAAAATGGGAGGGGCATGTGCGCAATGGGTGTGCATGAAGGGTCAACCAAGATGGATACTCATTTGGATCAGACGAGAAAAAAGAGTTGTTGAGGCCTCCTATGTAAAATATGATTTATTACATAAATATTTCTTAGTATTATAATATTTCCGATCTAGTATCTTTCCATTCTGAATTAGAGACAGGAAAAATTTTCTTCATCTTCCATTATTATGATAAATGTTAAATATCTAAGAGTAATAAGCATCCTGTGCAGATAATATCTGAAAATCACAAGAAGTGATTTTTTTATATAGTTCTTTAACTTTACCCAGGTACACCACGAGAAAAAGTATCTCAGTAGATGTGTGCAATAGAATTTTAAAGATAGCCAAAGTGGAACAAAAGTTTAACTATTATCATAATAGAAATTAGATAATTATTACTACGGTAACTAAGTTCGGGAAAGAACTGAAGAAAATGGAAAGTTCTTTTAAGTTGTGCAAATTCAGCATAACTTAATACCGGCCAGAAAATTGAAAAATGGAATTACCTTCCAGAAAGAATATCACCTTGACCACCACACCGACGAGGGGAACCATATATGCTCACTGTTTTAACTGCAAAAGGAACATCAATTATTATCATAAAGAATATCAGGGATTTATATTGCACCAACGAATTTTAAAAAATTAAAAGTAAATCATGATGAAATAAAAAGGCTGGTAGCACATACTCCATAACCCAGATATGATCAAAACAAGAAAGGGAGCTTCTCACAAGGTGGATTGGGTAAAGAATTTGCTGATTTCAGGGATACAATAGTTGCATGAAGAGGATGCAATATGATCACAGGATAAATAATCTTCACAAGTTCATTGATTTCATTTATGTGATGGGACTTGGGTACCAAAGGCAGATTTGTGTGCTTTTCCAGTTTCCCTTGATCTATTTACATTATTTTCACAAGTTTTCCTTTTTCTCGAGAGAAATAAGTAAAGATGTAACATAAAAAGGCATGGAGGGGCACCTCCCCATAGAGGAGAATTACATGTCATTAATAAAAATGAAGATATCTATGATGTCCTTCAGATTCTATCTAAAGACAAAAAGATCACCCTAAAACAAAATAATCAAGGTCTGGAACCAATTATCTCTAATATTGACAAAGATGACAAAATGTCTTCAAAAATCCTCATGCTTGCTTCTTTCTAAATTACCCCCAAACCTCGTCCATAATAAAACCACTAAACACCCAGGACAAGTAATGGAGGCACAGAGTCAAAACCTATTAACCTTCTCGTATCAGTGCATCAAAAGAAGATATAGTTGGGGGGATTCACTCTCTTCCAAAAACATATGACATTTGTTGACAATGCATCTACAACATCAGCTTCCAGGCAAACATCGGTGTACAGGAGATGCTTTTCACTTCCAAATCTGCTTCCAAGGGAATCTAGAAAATCTGCTTCTGAGGGAATCTAGAAACAATAGGTCTGGAAAAAATGTTGACTAATATATTTTATTATTTAATTAGTTATGATGATGTATTTAGAATTATATTAAAATACTAATCTCCTGTAATTAAAATTTAATATAATAATAATTTTCTTATCAGTATGTTAAGAATTCTATAAATATCTCAGGTGTAACAATTTAAATGGTGAGAAATAAAATTAATATTTTTTTTCTAAAATCAACATTTGTATCAGAGCCACAATAAGTTATTTTAGAATTCTAATTTTAGAATTTTTCCCAAATACTAAAATAGTAAAAATAGACTAAGTTGGTACTCACCGCCACCCCAGATGGAGTCACAGCCGCCGCAGTCTTCTCGTAAATCCAGCACGCGTTCTGTTCCTCCAGTTCTCTGGTATCTGGCGCGCACGGGAACATTTCGCCATCCGCCTTACAGCTTCGTATACAGAGACTGAATGGCTTCGACAGTCAGTGCAGATTTGTGACTCACCTCTCTGGATCTGGTCTCAATCCGCCTGCCGCACCTTCGTCTTCTCCCTCCGTGCCTAGTGGACAGATCTGATCTCTGCGCCTCTCTCCGGCCTTCTGGTTTCCTGATCGCTGTTGGTCGCCTCTTGCATGCAGATCTGGTATGTTCTGCCGTGCACCAATCTTCTTCTTCCGGTGCGTGCAGAGCCATGCGCAGGGAGTCTTTGAGCCGAACTGAGCCGTTTTTCGAGCTGATCCTGAGCTGAGTGAGGCGAGCCGAGTTGAGGCAAGCCAACTGAACCAAGCCGAGTGAGTCGAGCCGCTCTCCCTTCAAGCTGAGTTGAGCCGAGCCGATTTGAGCTGCTTCTTGAGCCGAACCGAGCCGAGCCAAGCATGAGCCAATCCAAGTCGAGCCCGAGCCAAGCATGAGCCAATCCAAGCCGAGCCCAAGCCAAACTGATGACCTGAACAGAGCTGAGTCATCCACGCCTGAGCCAAGCCGCTGCCCTTGCCAAACATATTTGCTTTCTCCGTGCGCGAGCAGCTCTGAGCAGCCCTTTTTTGG